TTAAAAAAAAACACCACCCAAAAAACAACCAACCAAAAAAACCAAACAACAAAACTTGTATTGTCAAAAAAGAACAAGCAACAAAACTTGTGTTGTCAAATCAATTCTGATTCACAGTGACCACTTCACAAAGGTGAAGTGCCTCTCAGAGTTTCTGAAGCTGTAATCTTTACAGAAGCTGAATGCCACATTTTTCTCCCACAGAACCATTGCTGTTTGTTGTTTTTTTAAACCATAGAGTGAGACCAAACCCAACTGAGCTGACCAAGCTGGCCCCCTGGAGGGTTTTCTAAGGCAGTTAATCCCAGAGGAGGAGAGTGCCCATGCAGGCCTTGAACTGCATGCCTTTGGGATTGCAGTACAGCTTCTTGCCACCAGGCCACCAGAGCTTCCTCATGGAACCACTAATGGGTTTGAATTACTGGCGGTTTGAATTAGTGAGCGGCTGAGTGCTTACCCACAGCATCACTAAAGCTCTATCCACACTAAATGATTCTATGGAATTGTCTAAAGTTCAAAGGTGAGCCTGGAGGCCAGCAGACCCAACTGAAGAAAGTAGCATTTGTCTGATCAGTGGTATTCTGATAAATGTTGTGAGGTGCTTTCAAGTCAAGTGAGACTCATAGAGACCCTATAAACAACAGAGCAGAACCCTGTCCTATCCTGTGTCATCCTCACAATCGGTGGCACACTCAAGCCCATTGCTACAGTCACTTTGTCCGTCCACCTTATTGAGGGTCTTCCTCTCTTTCACTGTTCCTCCACCTTCCCAAGGATGTTATCCCTCTCCAAGGAATAGCCAATCCTAGCAACATGTCTTAAGTATGTGAGAAGTTTTATCTTTGCCTCCAAGAAGCATTTTAGCTGCACTGTCTCCAAGATATGTGTGTGTTCTTTTGGCAGTTCATAGGATATTCATTACTCTTCTCCAACACTACAGTATCAATCCTCCTTCTGGCATCCTTATTCATTGTTCAGCTCTCAGCAGCATAGCAAGTGATTGAAAAGAACGGAATAAACGGCTTGAATCAGGCATACTTCAGTTTTCAAACTAACATCATGCACTGCTCTGCAGTGAATTTGGAGAGGTCCCTGACTGCAGGCTTTCCCAGCACATCACCTGCTCTCCTGACTGCTGATACCATACCAATACCTTGTGAATCCAAGGATGATGAAGTTGTTAACAATTTCCATCTTCTCTCCATCTATCATGATGTTGTCCATCAGCTCTATGGTGAGAATTCTTGTTTTTGTTTGATAAATGGGTCTTAAGAAATGCAGAATAGAGGCATTCACGGTGTAAAACTACATGTGCAATGGCACAGAGACATGAGCTGGTGTTCTGTGATGCCTCTCCCAGCCACAACATTCTATTCATGGTGCTCCCTCTTTTCAGTCTAAAAAAGGGTGTGAAGTCTCATTCAGACACCCACTAGGATGGCTAAAATTAAAATACAAATGGAATAACAAGTGTTAGGGAGGATGTGGAGAAATTATAGCCCTCATACATTGCTGTTAGGAATAAAATGGAATCTGCTGCTAAGGCAGTTTGCCAGTTCTTCAAAAAGTTAAACATTTAAAAAAAAAGTTAAACACAGAATTAACATATGATCCAGTGATTCCATCCAGGTACATACTCAAATTGAACACAGTGACCCAGACAAATATTTACCCGCCACTGTCACTGCAACACTATTTTTTTTTAACTTTTATTTATTTTTTTATTTTAATTGAGATTTTAACGAAAGTTTATAGAGAAGTTGGATTTCCATTCATTCATTGTTGCACATTTTCCTCTTCTCCCTCCCCCCCAGTTAGCTTTTCTCTTTGAAAAAAAATAATCTTTCATTGTTGCACAATTTCCTACCCTCGCCCCTCTAGTCCACTTTGTATGCAGCTCTTATTCTGCACTATTGTCAAAGCAGCACTATTTTCAAAGGGTGAAAATCCAAATGTCCAACAATGGATAAAAGGATAAGCTTATTGTGGTTTATCTATAATACAGCAGAATACTATTCAGCTACAAAAAAAGAGTGAAGTACTAAGATACACTATAATGTAGATGATCCCTGAAGACATGTCATGTGACACAAAAGGTCATATACAGTATGATTCCATGTATGTGACCAAAAGCTAACTGGTGGTTGCCAGGGGCTGGAAGGAAGGTGAAGGCATGGGGACTGAATGCCTAATGATTGGATTTGGTTTCCTTTTGGGGATGAAAATGTTTTGGGAACTAAATAGAGGTAGTGGCTGTACCACCTTATGAATGTGGCAGATGTCACACTAAAATGTAACTTCAATATTAAACAAGGGCAAGATAAAATAAATAAATGTCCACTATTCAGAAGATAGTTTAAGAGGAAATGGGCAAAATGTTCTATAATTACGCCCTATATGGTCAACATAGAATTACCAGAAATACACCTTTCTTTAAAGGTGCTTTAGAGGTTAGCAACAAATGAATGAGTTTGTCATGAGTTTAGGTTCTCAGGATCCTCTGACAATGACTTCAAAGATACCATTACCTTCCAAGCTTTGTTAAGAATCTAACAAGCTGGGGAGCTCTGGTGGCCTAGTGGCAAGGAGCTGCAACTACAATCCCAGAGGCCAATGGTTCGAATCCACCAGATGCTCTGCCGGGTAAGGAGGGACAATCTCCTCCTGTACCAGTAAGATCTGATTTGACGGTACACGCACACAAAAATAATAAAATAATAATATATAAAAAAAAGAATCTAACAAGCTGAAGCTACACATTGTTATTGTTGTTGTCCTCATTGTTGTTGTGTATCCAGTCGACTGCAATTCAGAGTGAGCCTATGAAGAATGGATCTGAACGCTATCTTGTGACATTCTCACCCATTCTGACATACTAGAGTCTATTCAATTATTGTGTCAATCTATCTCACTGAAAGTCTTCCCTTGCTTCACTGATCCTCTTCCTTTCCAAGCATAATGACCCTTTCCCAGGACTATATCCTCCTAACAACATGCCCAAAGTTTTACTATCCGTGCTTCTAAGGGGCACCCTACTTGCACCTCCTCTAAGACATATTTATTTGTTCTTTTGACAATCCATGGGATAGTCAGTACTCTTCTCCAGCATAACTCAAAGCTGCTGCATTCTCCTAGGGCATACTGAGAGTCATGCTTATCAGCCAACTCTTATCATTCAGGGCTGAACAAGCCCTAGAAGCCTGTTGAGGCAGCTCTGGAAACCACTTCCCCTTTTGCCCTACCAAGCAGAAGGTGATCTGAGCAATAGAAACTAGCTGGTCACCAGGTTAGGGCTGAGTTCAATTAAACTTCTACTCCAAGACTACCTGAAAGCTAGTATCATCAAGGCTTTTTCTATGTTGCCAGATCAAAACACAGTTCCTTCTTTTTTTTCTCCAAAGTCATTGGAATCCAAAAGGTAATTCCCTGTTTTCCCTCTTGGAACAGCCAAGCTTCAGTGCTCTGAGGTCAAGCTCTCCTGCCCAAGCTGAATAAACAGCTCTTTGCATTGTAGAATCATAATTTCTGTCCTAGAAAATTAAGTTCTTAAAAACTGAGAGGTGACTGCTGCATAGGGAAAATGGGTAGACACAAGTGCTTAGAGACAGAGGGAGAACTGTCCTTCTACATACCCACACCCCTATGAGCCAGATAGAGTTCTTGAGCCTAAGAGGAAATTTTGGTGAGCGGGGCATCGTCTAAGTCCATTCCTGCACATGCTTCATCCTTTACCCAGCTTTTGGCGCTAACAGAATCAGCTGGATTCACTTCTGTGGTCTAACACTGTGGCAGCAGCTTCAGAAAGACACCTCTAGAACCCTTTTCTGACTTTTCGAGTCAGAAAAGGAGGGGTAAACTGTGGAAAAACACTTGCTCAAATAGAATTAGTCAATTTGAATTGAACACCAAAGCCCTCCCAATCAAGGAGAAGGGAATCCTAAAAGTCGACTGATAATGGACTTTTTAGCCAGCTCGATGAATGAAATAAATAATGTGACATATACTTGCCCAGGGACATTGTAAACAGTTAGTTACACTTGCCAAAACTTCACTGCATTCAAAGTCACTCCCTGGGAGTGGCATCCAAAGTCTGTCTCCTTTCTAATCTCTTTCCCCTACTCCAATGGAGTGAAGCTGAGTGTGAGGACTTAGGCCCTCCTTCCAGCTCTGCTCCAACTCAAAATTCACTTGCTAGACCTGAGCAGGTGCAAAATGTTATTTTCTGTGACTCCCACCCTGCCTCCTAATTCTTGATGATTTCCGCACTCCTCATCACCCTAAATGCCTTCCCACCTGTCAGAGCTAAACCTTATTAAATGTATAACCCCATGAATTACGCACTGCAAATATCCCCCTCTACTCAGCACGTAAGAGCACCTCCCAGAGTTTAGCATTTCGGCTTCTAAACAGATCTAGCGCTTTATACACCTGTACAGAAAGTTTCCTCTTCTCTGCACGCCCCACTCCCACCTCCCCTCGCCCAACACGCTAAGATGAAAAGCAGCATTGGGGAAAAGAAAAGCTTGCTGAGAGACTACCAGGGAAGGCAGGGATGGAACCAAACTTGCTTATAGAAGGGGCTTCTCGGAGACAAGGGTAGCCCGGGCAGCAAGAACTGGGATGAGTCGCTTTCCGTTTCCTGCTCTCTCTTAAGAAGCCTCATCCACAAATCAATACGTTGGAACGCTAAGTTCCCAGGTATCTCCTCCAGGTCATGACTCCGCGATTCCAAAGTTCTTCTTCCAACTGGCTTTCAAGTTAGTATTTTAGGGTTTCGTGTGAGCGTTTATGTCCTGAGATTCTCTGGCACCAAACCAGGCTCCTACTGAACCCTCTCTGTGATCTGCACAGCCCTTTCCTTTTCCTCCTCCAGACGCCACCAAGCTCAGAATAAGTGAGACATGCATGCATACCAGCCAGCTCGGGAAAGTTACCTGCACCGCCCGCCCGCCCTCCACGCTGCTGGGGGCCGGGGCCCCCCCTCCCCTCCTGTCAGTCACCTGGAGCCGGAAGCGCTGGGCAGCCTTGTCCATGGTGTCCAGGGCCGTTTGCTGCCGCTGTCGCGCTCGAGCTGCCGAGACCCGCGCCGTCCGGCGTCCAGCCCAGCGCAGGGCCATGGCCGCGGCCACGAAACAGCAAGCCAGGGCCGCCCCGAAGGGCCCGCAGAGCGCGGCCCTCAGCTGGTCCAACACCATGATCCCCGGGTGCAGACCGCCGTCTAGAGCGACAGAGAGAACACCGCACGCGCTGCCAGAACGCTCCGCGGCAAAACCCGGCCTGGATCGGCCGGATCGCGCTCCCGCCTCCGCCGAAGGGCGGGAGCAGCACGGCGCCGCCGCAGGCCCGCGGGGGGGGGCGTGCCGTTGCTGAGCAGCCTGCGCGAGGCGCGCTACCGACGGATCGAGCCCGGCTGCAGGGTCAGGCGTCCTCCCGCGTCCTCCGCGCGTCCTCCGCGCGTCCTGCAGGCAGCGGGCGAGGTCAGGCGGAGGGCTGGAGATGAACACCTCGCTTTGCTTAGGCACCTTCTCAAGCACCAGCATTGCAACACCTGCAGCCCCCGCCACCCCACGCACCTGAGAGTCCCTCTCCAAGAGGACAGAGTGACGGAGAGAAGGGAGCACAGCGATGGATTGGCCCCGGGACCTATATTAAGTACTCCCATCAACAGTTATTACAGAAGAGCCATGATTTGAAACTGACCAGAACAGAGGCCCCAACCTCTTCGCAAATTAGAATTTTAGGGGTGCCTTCCCAGGAACTGGCACAGGAAATTAATCTAGGGGCGCCCAGCTGCTTCTGTGTCTTTATCTTTTGACCTGCGTTCTTCTACATGAGCGTTCTTCTACATGAGCGTAAAAGGTTGTCACCACCTGCAGCTAGGTCTCCCCAGGGTCACCTTTTCCCAGTTCTGGGCCTTGCTAGACTTCACCCCCACGAAGCAAAAAGCACTGGGGACTTAGTACCTTCCACTGGGAAACACATACTTTTTCCTATTTAGGCCTGTGATACAACTTGATGAGTTTTATTCCACTTGTTCTCCCAATAACACTATGAGGAAAACTCCATCATTTTATAGTTAGTTTATACTGAGGGCTGTTGTTTGTATCAAGTCAGAAATGACACACAGCTGACCCTCTGGAGGGCATTCAGAGGCAATTAATTGAATGAATGGCAAGAGGTTTCCCATTCTTCCCGGAACAGCTGGTGGATTTGAACCATGTGCCTTTGGGATTGCAGCTTCTTACTACTAAGCCACCAGAGCTCCGAAAACTGAAGACTACTGGTACTTGAGTAGGGAATCAAATTCAGGTTTAATCCCATGAAGTATGGCCACTGAAAGTGAGCTCTGAGAGATAGGGTGAAGGAAAGTTTTATGTCTGGGGATCCTGTCTTTTGAAACAGTGTTCTTATTCCTGATTTTGCCTCACCTCCAGAATTTATTCTCAGTCTCTCTGGAGGGCTCCTCTGCCCTGCCTTCTCCTGGCCTTATATTTTGCCATCACTGGCACTTCTCCAGAGAGAGCTCATCTGAACACAGAAATGGGCTGCAATTGTCACCAGGGTTTCCAAAACTCTGACACTTCCATCAACTCAGACCTCTCTTCAGGCCTCCAGACCAATTACAGCAGCTGCCCACTTTCAGTACTTTTCTTGGATATTTGTGAAGTATATCAGCCTTAGTCTGCCCATAAGGATGAGAAGAGATGTGTCTAGAAAGGCAAGTAGGGCCGACTCACAGGCTTCCAGATGTGTGAAGAGAAATAGGGGTGGGGACAGTAATCAAAGACTTCTAGCTAGATTTCTAGATATCTCTCTTGCTCTTTTTCTCTTCCTTATATACAAATCTACCTCTGCCTGAGGTCAGACATGGAGCTCAAGATAATCTAACCATTGCACCACTTTGACACTTTTACTGGCATTCCCCATTTTATTGTGCTTCACTTTATTGTGCCTCAAAGACAATTGTGGCTTTTTACAAATTGAAGATGTGTGGCAAACCTTCAAGGAGCAAGTTTATATGGCCTCATTTTTCCAACAGCATATACTGACTTTGTGTTTGTGTCACATTGTGATACTTCTCACAATATTTCAAACTTTTTTCTTAGTGCCTTTGCACACTTAGTAGGCTACAATATAGTGTAAACAACTTTTATACACACTGGAAAGCCAAAACATTTGTGTGACCCACTTCATTGCAATATTCACTTTATTGCAGTGGTCTGAAACTAAACCTACAATGCCTCCAAAGTATTGCTTTACTCTGTGTGTGTGTGTGTGTGTGTCTTTATTTCCTGAATTTCCTGTCCAGAGTCCAGAGCCTGTAGGGCAGGTAAGCAGTGATCAAGATTATAAGGAGGAGATTACAGACCTGGTGATGTCCTCTGTGACCCTGGCTCTTGGTCTCTTCCTGCTGAAGGATCCCTAAAGTCCAAGCTCACCATGTCTATTCCTACTCATCAATCCACTCCTCCCATGAGAAATCTTATTCTACAACCTAATTACTCCCTCTTCCTCATCAGCCCTAACCCAAGGAAAGTATCAAGAACTGCACTAGCTCACTTTCTCCTATTACTAGATCATGTCTCCTCATGTCCGCCCCCACCCCTCCACTGCTCCTACGTTTACACAAACCTTTAAAATCTTTCCCTAGACTCCAGATTAGTCTCTCTGCCTTCAATCTCTATACCCCTTCAGGTTTCTCCACACAGCTGTCAGTTTCCCAAGTCCCAGGCCCAATTGAGTAATGCTCTTGCTCAAATGTCTTTGATAATGCCTCTCACACAAAGTGTAAACGTTTTAGCTGAGCTTTCAGATGTCTCTCCAATCTAGGGCATCAGCCTTTTAGCCATTGTCCCCTCCATACACCCTTACTGAAGTCATTTGGGTCTCAAACAACCACCATGCCACTAAATGCCATGTTTTCCCCCTGCACTTACACTTGTGTAAGGCCAATTCATGACTATTTCCTGATTCACCATTAACATCCAACAGTGAGCTTCCAACAGACATATACTAGAGCGAATTAGATAAATGTCCATGAACCATCAAAATGGAAATATAAAGTATAAAGTTCCACAAATGAGAAGTACCCAGGTCATACCCATCTCCTAAGCCATCCTGTGGTACAGAGTAGAATTGTATTCTAAATGAGTTTTCTAAGGCTGAGGCCTTTTGAAGGCAGATTACTGGCTTTTTCTTCCAAGGCACATTGTCAGTGTCTAACACATAGTCAGTCCTCCACAAATGTTTGTTGAAAGGTTCACCTGTAAAGAGCTTGGATGTTATTGGAACCATCTGGATCTGAGGCCCTTGTGAATCACTTCAGCCCCTTGAGCCAGCTCAGGAGGCATCCATACAAAATCTGTGTTTCTAGGTCTTCTCTTCAGGTTGAGAGAGACCAAGCCCTTAGTCAACACTGATATACCCTTGTAAATTTCATGTACCTGAGCCTCAATTTTCCCAGAAGAGATTCAGGATGATAGAAATCCCAATCTACTGTGGATGATTCATTTCTCCCTTTGTAAACTGAGCAGCATTCATCCAGACCTCCTCTCCCTCTCAAAAAGGAGAAAATAAGATTGTATTTACAGGGACACTCTAGTTGTAACTGAGGCTTAATCAAGTTTGTTACCTGTTTAAATAAGGCCAACATATGCTATTTTAGAGACTCCATTTATGGAAAGCATTCACCTGTGTTTACTATAATGGTGGCTTCTCTAAGGAGCACGCTTCTTGGGGTATATTAAATAAAGGCTTTCTCTGGTGGCATAGAGGCAGGAAGCTGCACTGCAATACTGCAATCCCAGAGGTACACGGTTCGAATCCACCAGATGCTCTGCTAGAGAAGGAGGGAGGGGCAATCTCCTCCTGTACAGTCAGATCTGATTTGATGGAATAAAATAATAATAATAATTTCTTTATAAACATGATCTTGGAATTAGGATGGGACCCAGAGGTCACAGCATTAAATCCTGGTGTGAGTCTAACCTTCAGGTCACAATGGCGTCCACTTTATTACTCTAGAATAAGAAACTATGCCTCTGACTGTAAAATGGTGTAACCCTATGTAAAACAGTTCATACTTCCTTGGAAAGTAGAGAACAGAACAGGAATACCATTTGATCCAACTACAATGTATATAGGGAGCTCTCCTGGCATAGTGGTAAGGAGTTGCTCTGTCAACCCAAAGAAACATGGTTCATATCTACTGGTTGCTTTGCAGGAGAAAGATGGGCATTCTCCTCACATGCAATTTACTGCCTTTGAAAACCCACTGGAGGATCAGCTATGAGTCACTTCCAACTCAACAGCACATAACCACAGTAACATTTACAATAGCAAAGAATTGGAAATAATGCAAGTGTCCATGTTATGTAGTGTTTTACAAGTTCATTGCTTTTCAATGCTATATAATATTCCATTGTGTAATCACAGCACAATTTTTCTTTTTTTTTTCTTTTTTTTTTTTTTTTAGCACAATTTTTCTATCCATTCATTTGTTGGGCTGCTTCCATCTCTTTACTAATACGGATAACTCAGCAATAAACATAGGTGTGCTCACATCTGTTTTGAGTCATGGTTCTGATTTCTTACGGTATATTTCCAGTAGTGGGATTGTTGGGTCAGATGGTATATCTATTTCCAAATTTTTGAGAAAGTGCCGGACCACCTTCCATACTGATTATACCATTTTACATTCCCACCAGTAATGAATCTCTCCATAACTTCACCAGCATTTGTTTTTTGCCACTTGGCTGAATTTTGCTATTATTGCTGACCAAAAAAATAGAAGAATGGACAGGAAATAAAAATTCATCAGATGTGACTTTCCAGAGCCCCATTGATATTATCTGAAAGGCATCTTGTTATCTAGAAACATCTGTGAGGAAAAGCAGCACCACACCATTCTTCAGTCAGAGCAGAGTGTACCTGCACGGAGGGTTTGTGCAAGAAAATGCTCTTTTCCTGAAAATCAGCTCGGACTGGCTCTGGTGGAGGTTTAGGATCCTTCTTTAACTGGTGATCTTGAATAAGTCATTGTTTGCCCCCCACAGAAAGATTGAGTTTTCATTCATTCATTGCTGCACGTTTCTCTCTCTCTCTCCTCTCTCCTCTCTCTTCTCTCTTCTCTCTTCTCTCTCTCTCTCTCTTTCTCTCCCCCTCTCCCTCTCTCCTCCCCAATCCACTTTGCAAT